CCCCTGCCCCTGCCCCTGCTCCCGCCCATGCCCCTACCCCTGCCCCTGCCACACCCTGGTACCCACGCTCAGCCGCTGCTGCTCCAGCTCTCCCGATCTCTCCAGCAGCTGTTGTTCCAGCTCCGAGCACCTCTTCTTGTACTGGAGAATCTGGGAATGGGCAGGAGCGAATGGTTAGCCTGGGAGCGGAGGCAGGGCAAAGTGAGCACGGGGAGGCAGGAGCGGGAGTGGTGGCCCTGACCTTGGCCTGCAGCCGCTGCACTAGCTGGGCCTGTCGCTGCTGGCCCTCCTGGTAGGCCTGCAGCTTGCGCCGGTAGGAGGCCTGCTCCTCCTGCAGCTGCCTCCGCAGCTCCACGCTCTGCCGTACCAGCCCCCTGGGCTCCTGCGTCTCCAGCTCCCCAGACTCCAGCCGCACAGCCTGCTCCAGCTGCAGGGAAGGGCTCTGAGTGAGAGTCCTGGGCCTCCCGCGAGGGCAGGCTCAGGACTCTGCAGGGGGCGCCAGGCTGGGCCCAGACCCACAATGCCTTGCAGGCCAGGGGGAGCAGGCACAGGTGGGCAAGCCCAGGATGCACTGCCTGTGTGCAGGGGCTGATGCAGCTGTGCATGGACACTCAGACTGGGCATGCATGGACACATGCACGTGGGCTCACAGACTGCATGCAAAGTGCAAAGCTGCACCCGGGGTAACCCCAGGGGCCCCCTGTGCACCATGTGCCTCTCCCCTGGAACACTAAGCCTGCTGTGGTTTTCGATGGTTACATTCACTCCCTGTCTCCCCAACCCCTCCCTGCCAGAGCTCAGGAAAGTCTGGATTTTTGTCTCTCATTGTATCTGAGCATTAGAACAGTGGTTGTGGTGTGGCATAGCCCAGGCTCAGCAAACATTTGTTGAGATCATGAATTAATGGCACAAGCATGTGGAAGTACACTCAGACAATCCGCACGTGCATATCTGAGCTTACAAACATGCACCTACATGATGCACACAGGCAGGTTCACACATCCCAGGCGACCCAGGCAAACCCCCATGCACGCAGCATTCAAATGTGGAAGAGGTGCAGTGTCACCTCCTACAGCGCAGGCTTATGAAGGCCCTCTCAGCCCCACCTCTCCCTCCCAGCCACCCCGCCCTTCCCCACCTCTGCCCTCCTCCAACCCCAGGCAGCTTCCAGCCCCTTGGCCCTCAGATCCCTGTGGGCACAGGCAGCATGCCTGCCCAGCTCTGGTTGCCCCCACTAGCCATGGAGCCCTCTCTACCCACTGAAGGCAATTGCTGGTCCTAGGTGGCCCCCTGGCCTCCTGCAGCTATTGGGGGAAGAAGCAGAGTGGGCCCAGCAGACTCTGACACCAGCCCACACTCACTGTCTGTCTTCCCAGCACCTGACCCGCTACAGCCCGGACAAGGCACTCACATTCCCACCCATGCATGGTCACATGCCCACAGGAGGCCAACAGGAGGGGCAGCCATTCCCATTCATGCTGATCGCAGGCCTTGGGGACAGGGCAGGCTAGCAGCAGGGACAGTGCCCTCCAGGCCTGCACCCACCCCAAGTACCCAGGAGACCCTGTGAGCGGAGTCTCCTCACTCACAGAGCCGGTGGCCATGGCTATTGGGGATTCCCCGAGTCAAGGACATGGAGGGGAGGTGGAAGTGGGGGGTTTCTGCCTAGACGGTGGCTGAGGCCCACCCAGTACTTGAACAAAAACCCAGCTAAGGCAGTAGAGAGCAATGCCCACGTCTGTGTGTGGTAGCCGTGACCCCCAGATGTTGTGTATTATGCATGGATGCATGTGTCTGTGCACGGGTGCTGGGCACATGTGGACAATTTGGTGTGGCTGGGCCTTCTGTGACCCCTGGAGAAGTGGCACCTGTGGTTCAGGTCTATGTTGTGGTGCGAGCGCCAGACTCATCAGTGGGTATCAGGGCTAAGTTTCTGTGTGTGTGTGCATCTGTGTGTGTGGGGAGTGCCTGGGCTCCCAGGCGGGTGTCTGCAACTCCATGCTTTTGCATCTGGCCTCCCTCTGTGGGCCGACTGGTGGCTGCATGAAGGCCCACACCTTGTTGGTGTGCACCATGAGGTGTGAAACTGAGTTGGGTGTCTGCATGTGAGTATATCATGGTGCTGAGACTGTCTGGTGGGGGACCATCCTGTGCCTGTGTGGGACTGTGGGCTGTGGGGCGAGTCACGCTGTGTACATTTCGTGAATCTGAGTGTGTCCATGAGGAGGGTTCGTGTTTCTGCGTGATGTGTTTGGTGTGTCTGTGTATCTCTGTGTGTGGTCTGGTGTGGCCTGTGTTGCGACTGGGTGCTCCTCCTCCCTTCCCAGTGCTCAGAGCCAGAGCCAGGGCCCTTCCGGCCACATCTCACCTCTTTCCACAAACTCCACCCGCACAACAGGGCTTTCCATTGTGCCTGCAATTCACAAGGGAAGGAGGCTGCCGCTAAGCTGGGGATGAAAGGAGTTTGCGGTCTCCCCAGCAACGGCCACCCCAGCACCGCCATTCAGTGCAGGTTGCCATGGACACCAGGGAAGCTCAGGGGGTCCGTCCTCGGGAGCCAGGGGGCATGGCCACTCCTCCTTTCCATTCCCAGCTGCGCCTATGCCTGCTCCTCCTAGACAAGAAGCAGGGGCCTCCACAGGGTCGCGAGGTCTCTCTCTCCCCTGGGAGGTACCTCAGTTCCCCCACAGGACATGCACTCAACAGGACACAGATCCTGGCCCTCCCTCCACCCCCCATTCCAGGGATGCTGTGGGGCTGGAAGGCCCAGAACAACCTTGCTGACCTCAACCCAGCCCGCACACACTAGTTACGGCTGCAGGGCAGGCTCTGCCACTTGTGGTCACGGGTCAGAGGGGCAGCAGAGAGAGCCGGTGTCCCACAACTGCAGAGTCCTGGACTGACCTTGGGCCTATCCTGCCCCTCTCCAGGTCTTAGTTTCCTCATCTGTAATAAAGTGACCTCCAGATTCGGAAGTTTTCCATGGACCCACCGTCCAGGAAAGGCCTCTGAGGTCGTTCCCATTTAGTCCCCACCTCCAGACAGGGCTGCACTCAAACCATGTCAGACCGAGGCCAACTGAAACATCGTGCTCCCTCTGTGTGCCATTCAAGGGTCTCCCCAGCCACAGGAAGGAGCTTTCTAGATCCACCCAGGCTCTCCGTGCTGCAGCCCCAGCCCCAGCAGCTGTGTCCCAGCAGCAGGGAAGGGACCTGTCACCTCCCACCTCTTCTCCCATTCCCCTGCCAACCGAGAAAAAGTGCCAGCTTCACTGTGGGCCAGAAGGTGGCATTTAAGAGGCAGCCCCCCGGGGCATGGCACTGTGCCAGGGGCCAAAAGAAGAGAGGCCTAAGCCAGGCGGGGGCTGGCTCGGGTCCCTGTCACCTAACAATGTGGGACCTGGGTCAATCTGCCCTCTACACCCCCTGCAGACGCTGGGAAACTAGCTGTGCTCTGTCTCAAACACTGGGAAACTAGCTGTGCTCTGTCTCTGTCTCAAATGCTAGGGGCTACTGCGGCCCCTCCACCCTGCTCCCTGGCAAGTCTCAGCAAGTCAGGGGCTTGTCCAGGCAGGCAAATACCAGCACACAGGCACACCCCACAATCATACACAGAAATGCGTACCCCGCTTCCCAACACGAGTGTGCAGGCCTCCGTCTGAACAGGCCTTGTACAGGGGTCCCAGGCTAACCCAAGCTCTGACGCTACCACACAGGGGTCCCCAGGCCAGGCCCTGCCCCTTTGTGTCCCTGCCAGCTTTCCAGGGGCCAGCTGTCCCTGAAACTCCTAGTCTCCTGTCTCTTCTCACACACAGGAAACAACTTCAACCCAGAGCCCCGGGATGGGAATCAGAAGACTGGCTGACTTCCAGCCCGGGAGACTGGCTGTGTGACCCCAGCATGGTGATTCCATTCTCTGAGTCTGTTTTCTCCTCTGTTAAACGAGCATCATTTAGCTGAGTGTCGTGGCACGTGCCTGTAGTCCCAGGCATTCAGGAGGCTGAGGCAGGAGGATCATTTGAGCCCAGGAGTTGGAGGTTATGAACTATGATCACACCACTACACTCCAGCGTGGAGACCCCATCTTTTTTTTTTTTTTTTTTTTTG